TCCAAGGATACTTTGTAGCAAGTTTGGTTGAAATTGGCCCAGCGATTCTTGAGAAGAAGTCGAAAATGTGAAAAGTTTACAGACAGACGGACAGACAGACAGACAGACAGACAGACAGACGGACAGACGGACGCCGGACAAAATGTGATCAAAAAAGCTCACTTGAGCCTTCGGCTCAGGTGAGCTAAAAAAAGTATACCTTTATGATAAAATAAACGAGAAATATGAAGTTTTCTTTTATTTTCGTAGTCTTGTATCCTAAATATTGACCTTTCTGCACCAAGACAAAGGTAAGTAAGCACTGACAAACATCTGAATATAAAACAATTTTGCGAAAAACGAGTATTTTGTTTTGATTAGAAATAATTTAAACATATTAATTCTTTTCTTCTTCATTCCAATCATTCTGACCCCCCCCCCCCCCCATTTCCCCGTGAACAACTAACACCTATCAGAACCTAGGAATGATTTTACACAAAAAAAATCTACATTTACTATAAAACAATAAGCAAATATAGGTACAAGTACATTTCTTAATTTTATTTAGTTTTATCCAGAAAATACAATTAATGGTAAACATATGCATGAAATTAAACATATTATCTTTATTTCAGCCGCTTTCTTTGCTGAATTTTATATCACAGTTACAAAAGTCAACAAATAAAAACAAACGTCGCTTTTGTGACGTCACATAACGCTACTTTGACGTAGAACGACATAGGTCCCCCTTAACGTAGAACTTACGTCGTATGACATCATAACTAGTGAATGTGTTTAGCCTGTGCTAAATCCATTATGACGTCATAATTAATTCAATGTCACCTTTTCCCGTACTTTACAGCTTCAATATAAATGGTAGAAAATACTGCATTTTGAAAGTCACAGAATTCTATTTATGTTACCATTTTGAAGGAATGTAAAAATCCTAAGAAATCTTCAGTTGCCAAATAAATAGTGTAATTTCTTGATGAAATGTGTCTGAGTCAAAGATGTACGTGTTTTAGATGGTGTGATCATGTGTACATTTTTGTGATATCTATAATGAAACGATGTGCATGCATTCTTTTTTCATAATTATACTCACCGTCAATAGAAACGCAACACCTTAATTTTAGGGTGAAAATTATATACAGGTCATAACTATGTACCAAAAAAGTTAGGACATCTTTTACTTTGCCAATTCAGTTATATAACGGTTGAATGAATTTCTTTCCATTACTGGAAGTTGCTTTCTAGCCCTCTAAACGGAATTCAAAATTTTCCATTTTTGAAAATTCTTGGTGTTTGATTACAATTTTTCTATTAAATATAATCTTTTAAAATTAAAAGTACAATTTTTGATGAACATTTTTAATCTGAAAGTAACCCCAAACAGTCATTTAATAATTAAATCCCGTTTAAGTGCAAAAAGGTCAAGATTATTAGCATTGGTAAATAGCCTGTCTCTCATTAGTTAGAGGCGAAAGGTATATATTTTAATCATTTTTTGTAATCATTTGAGTATGTTCTCCATCATATTAAAGGCTTCGTGATCGGGAGGCCCGGGTTCGATTCTCGTTCGCGGCGCCGCGTCATACCTAAGACGTGAACAAAGGTAGTGATTGTTCCTTCGCCAAGCGCTCGGCACTAGAAGTAAAAATATCATGCACGGGTCTTTCGGATATGACCTTAAAAACGTAGGTCCCGTGTCACAGTAGGCGCTGGGCACGATAAAGAACCCCTACTGCTCAATGGCCCTGAGTGCCGAGTATAGATCAAAATTTGAAGCCCTTCACCGGCATTCGGTGACGTCTCCATATTCTCAAGAGGGACATTAAACAATATACAATCAATCAATCAATCATCATATTAAAGATTGAAAACATTGTGACAAAGACTTCTGAAAATTTTTTACAAATGTAGGGTGGAAAATCGACTTTAAAAAATAGAGTTCATTTGCCTATTTCTTTTTTAAATGTGGACTTATCATTTATGTCAATTGAATAAAAAAGAAATTATTCTTGAAAATATTGCTTAATATTGTTAAGTTAATAAAGTCTATAAACGATAATGTTTGAAGAGGTATTTTTGTGATTTTTCATATTCTCTTCTTGACCCCTAAAAATAACTAGAAATTTGTAGTCGAACTACACTGTATGTAATTACCATATCATGTTTCACAGGCTTTACTAGATTTAAAAACAAGGAAACATATGAGCTTTTTAACTGATTTATAAGCAAATACTAATTTATCATTTTGAAAATTTAGAAAATCTTTTGACAAAGACTTTTCCGACATAGGTTCTTCCTTAACTAACCTAACAAGAAGAGCCTCTTCATAGGAGTGAAAAATATAAGATGGTCGTTAAACAACAAATAAACATTTTCATAATTTGCATATATTTGAAATAAATAAAATAAAAATGCGTCTATGAAAATATGTTATCTAGAAAGTTTAAATATCCATGTTATCAATCATTTTTATATAGTCTATTTATATTCCCTATATAATGTATACAAGCGCAAACAGTTCATAACACTATATATTCACTGGATTTGAGGTCGTATTCACCGGAGGGTCATTGCGCGTGTAGTGGCATTGTGACGTCACAATCAACAAAGGAGGTGAAAAACTGTAATCTGGACATTTTTTTTCAACGACGGAAGTTTGTTAATGCAAGTGGTTTCGTTATTCAGCCTTCAATGTCTTATTTATTCAAAGTCGGACTATATAATAAAACAATTATGGACTATTTTGGTGTTGAATATGGTTTGTTATTCACCAGAAAAATATCCATATTGACCTCGGCTTCGCAATTTTTATTGTGATAATGTAGAGGAGTATGGCAAAAAGTGAATATTGTTATGAAGTATGATGTGCAGTGGAAAAATATTGTTATAGATTTCTACTTCGAAACAAATTCAAGATTCTTTTTTATAATACTATAATATCATATTCAGTTTATAAAACATAAAAATTTAAAATAAAAAGCAGAATAGAAAATATTATACAAGAGAAGTCCATGTCAGAAAAAAAAAATTAGAAAAATATTTCATGTTTAAATTGTCAAAAACATGCATATTTCAAGACCGAGTAAAATTTTTAACAAATTTATTTTAATAAGCGTTTATTTTGTTGTTTGTTTGTTTTTGTTCTCATGCTGGTTATCCTAAATATCCGGGTTAACTGGCAATTGTTAATGGGTATTGATGAAAGCTGTGAAATAAAAGATTTAAAAATGCGTCCTAAATTTATCCTGCTTAAATACGACAAAAAATCCTTCTTCAATTTCCATATGTTAAGAGAAATGTATTAAGTAGAAATAAAGCGATACATGAGAAAAAAAACACTACACACATGTGGTATTAAGTCAACATTTACAACGAAAATTTATATAAAGCTTTTTCTTAAGACTGAAACAAAAATCAGTCCTTTAGATCAACCCATATACTTGCCTAGAAGTGATATTTTAGTAATTTGGACATTTAAATAGTCTATCAATATCTCTTAATAAACTGTTAAGTTAAATATCTATATTGCAAAAGAGACTCCATATAGTTACCAGGTATTTTTAAAGAATCATAATCTAAGGAACAGTTTACTCGATCTCAAAAAAGTAAGCTAGAAATGAAAAGGGTACATGTACATGTATTATACCCCTTTCGATCTAACATCAATATCCATTTACATTATTTTGCCTCCGTACATTGCTCAAGTTACTCTTATGTTGACATAAAAGATACTAAAGAGTCTGACATATGTGTTTCATATTTATCTAACAACCAAGCTCTATGATAAATGTGGGGACATTGACTTTTCAATCGTCAACTTTCCTCACTTATGCAGCAATATACCTTAATCAACTGTATACGTGTCTCTCAGTTGATCCAATACGCAAGAGCATGTTCTACGTATGTACAATTAATAAAACGGGTCAAATTATTGACAAACAATTTGATAAAACAAAGATATGAGCTTTGTCTCTTTTAAATTCTTTATTTTGTAAGTTCTATGGTCGATACCATGACCTTGTCAGCAAATACAATTTATTATTGTGTAAAGTGCTGACTGACGTTTTTCATACTAATTTTTAGTCCATTATTTATACACTGAATTGACTACGGATTTTTCCGTTGTTTCCCGATCATGACGAGGAGCACAGAGCGGATGTGACCAGTCGGCAACTGGGTTATCACTCATCCATGGCACCTAATCCCACCTCTAATATATTTGTTCCCATTTGCTTGATCCTATTTTATAATGTTTAATGGACTTTTGAGCTTGAATACCATTCGTTATCTCCATTCTTTCCATTCTAAATGCCTCGTGGGGATCCAGGTTAGAATAGGTCCTCAGTACCCCCATGCTTGTCGTAAAAGTCGACTAAATAGGGCGGTCCTTCGGATGAGACCGTGTAAACTGAGGCCCCATGTCACAGCAGGTGTGGCACGATAAAGATCCCTCCCTGTTCAAAGGCCGTAAGTGCCGAGCATGGGCCTAAATTTGCAGCCCTTCACCGACAATGATGACGTCTCCATATCAGTGAAACAGTGAAATATTCTGGAGATGGACGTTAAACAGTATACAATCAATCAATCAATCATTCTAAATGTATTTTTATGTATTTAAAGATAGAATGACAGTTTTACAGTATTTATGCTGTGTTTACCTGGCTTTCGTTGAGATTTCTAAGTAGGAACATTTCATGGCACATAAATTTTTTGTCTTGCTGTACAAATACCTACTTGGTAAAAACAACCAATTTCCTTTTCTATTACAAATGATAAATGCAATGATAAATATACATATGTAGATAACATTATAAATTATTCATACGTACTCCTACACCCTCTCTCATCCACAAACAAACACGTCCTCTCACACACACACACACACACACACACCCACACACACACACAGAGAGAGAGAGAGAGAGAAGGAGAGAGAGAGAGCAATTTATCTAAATGATTTCTTTAATTACTTAACCATTCTGGTTATGTTGAAATGCATATAATATTACCTTGATAACATGTTTGGTTGTATGATATATAGCCACTCTTGCAGACACAGCTATTATTCTTGCACACGTCTGCATGTAAACTTCCAGTACACTGTTCGTTCCAATGACAAAACCCACCAATAGCTACGTTACCTGAAATTTTGTTCTTTGAAACAAATATTGCATAATGTATGTACAAATGTTGACCGAGAAAAACATCTTTTTTCAATATTCCAACTTATTTAAAATAGAGAGATAGACAGCAAATTATCTAAAATGATTCTTAATTACTTTACCCTGCTGATAATGTTGAAATTCATCAAATATTACCTTGATAACATGTTTGGTTGTATGATATATAGCCACTCTTACAGACACAGCTATTATTCTTGCACACGTCTGCATATAAACTTCCAGTACACTGCTTGTTCCAATGACAAAACCCACCAAAAGCCACGCTACCTGAAATTTTGTTCTTTGAAACTGATGTTGCACATTGTATATTAAGATGTTTACCAAGAATGAAGTTCTCTTTCGAAATTTTCCAAAAACTACCTGACCATAATTATTCACTTCGGCATTTTCTTAAGAAATGCTAATGTTCTAATTTTTGCAAAAGAGTATGAGGTTGTTATGTCATATATGCATTTGAAAGCGACATCTTAACTGAATGAAGTATAAACGGTTGGGTGCGACAATTTTTTTTTTCGACTTACAAAAATATTAATAGCGATATTTTCTTAAATATTAATAGGCTACAGGAAAATACGAAAACAGGATGTGACAATTAAAATTTTATATCAACGTTTATTTAAAAAATAGTAAAACAGGTACAATGTATGTTGCTAACCTTGGATTGGGGATATGAAAATAGAAAAAAATATATCAGATTTTTTTAAAAATACTATTCAAATAGATTGAGAAAAAAAAAAACACGAAAAATCAGGCAAGCGTTTCAAACATTGTAACTCATAGTATACATTTATGTCTTTTTAATTCTTAATTTTTTTCTTTATGATCAGTTACCTTCAAAACAACTGTTTTGTATTGCAGTATATCCCTCTCTACATGTACATTTCCATTTCAAGCATACAGCAGAATAGTTTGCGTCTCTACACTGAATATCCGACACACATAGACCACCGATAGGAACATCAGCTAAACATATGAAATATTAAAAAAAACATTGCATTTTAAATTATTGAACAATGCAAAAATTTGCATAGATTGAATTTTTTCTGTTTAAAGACAGGTGATACATTCCTTAATAACTTATACACTTTCCGATCGACGTTTTGCCATGTTAAAGCTGACATGAATTCTTAAAAACGCAACATTTTCATCTATGTACGACTTGTTTCATACCAACTATAGTCGTATTCCGCCATATTTCTTTCAGATACCTTGTCTCATTTTAACGATATAATATACCCCAAAGCGCTCGTTACAGTTGAATGAGTTTTTGGTTTGGGTATCGACTTGTGCACATGTCCGATGGTAAAGCATATGAGAACACATGAGGAGATCAAGACATTTAAAAACCACAATAAACAACATAATAACCATATTTCTGAATAATTATTGATTTGAATCAAAAGAAAAAAATGCAAGTTTGGTGAGAAATTTAGATGCACGTCACGCGTACGTATTTTTACAGTGCGCCAATTTATGCAGAAAAAATTGAAATAAAAAGCAGTAAAATCTGCAAACACATTTTGAAATTATATCATTTGAATGGAACAAAACAACCAACGTCTTTGATTTGCAGCCCCTAAGCAATTGGTGCATATCGAGAAAACGCCTCAAACGCCGTAAACGTATCCATACCTGGTAATAAGGTTATTGCATCGGTTCGAAGATGTGCACAAGTCCAGTGATATACACCCTGAATTCCATTTATTGAAATATCCATCACAAAAAAGAAATAAACTCCGTAAAAGTAAAAGTAAACACACTGTCATTACTCCGTACAGACTAGCAGGCCGATACATTTAGTCCGTGCTGATCAGATTTTGGTCAGGGAAAATATCACAAGTGGAAAGAGAAGTTATTTGGTATATGCGCGGCTGAAAGGGGGGGGGTATTATAACTGCGGTTCATAAGCTATAATTGTGAATTGTCTATCTACATGTAGTTCTAATATACATTCTATACAAAGTCATGTATATAGTCTGCAGTTGGTTTGCGTCGCAAAATTCATTTGTCAATTATAACTGATTATTTTAGTACTAATCTCAAATCTAAACCAAGTAATTTGATGTACGGTAATTATTTACTTCAAATCTTAAAAGCAATAAACCAGAATACAATTTTTTTATGTGTACATAGATCTATACGTTCTATAACACACAAACACACGAAGAAATGCCATCCCCTGTTCAGATTGACATCTAGGCATTTGATTTTAAGGCGGGGGAGGGGGAGCATGCAAAAATAATTGACATGACCGTTATCTAAATATTCTTGGAAGACAGACATCTCTGCCGAATTCAATTTTGAATTTTTTTTTTAAATATGTCACTCCAACCATAAAATATGTGCATTTTGAAAAATGTATAAATGTTTTATAACTATGTTGTTACTGTAGATCAAAAAATTTCCGCGAGACCTTATTTTCGCGAGTTATTCATTGATTCTTGATTAGCGAGGCAACATTTTCGCGAATTGTGGTTATTGTTCTATATACTATTATTATTAAGGAATACTATTACGCGCAAGAATTAAATTTTTGCGATCACACTGTCTCCCGTAATTACGCGAAAATAAAGTTCTCGCGAATAAAAAGTGATTTACAGTATAGAGAGTCTATCGAGATTTCAGTATTCCTGCTTGATAGTCTCGCTATTTTTTTTAATATAAAAATAATTTCTGTAGGAGTATTTGGGAGGTAATTTCAAAAGCTAGGGTAATGTTTCTTGACACTGGTTGAATACGGATAATTTTTATTTACTCTTTTGTATATTGAACTAACTCTCTCTCTCTCTCTCTCTCTCTCTCTCTCACTCTCTCTCTCTCTGTAACCATCCCTTAGGGCAATAATAGGTATAAGATCCTACTCACTTTGTGCTGTACCATTTATTAAGCCTTAAGACCGATCAAAGATTTCTTTTTCAGGCGGGATGTCGAAACTCCATAAATTGAATAATAATTCAAATTTGGACAAGAACTTAACCCAAACGGCCAAATTGAAAGAGAAACTAGAGGTATTGTGAGCAATGAGCTCACTAAATGATACCCCCGCCTCCCATATGGTTATAATGGCAAAGTCCATATTTTGCTGTCGTCGCTAAACCCAAAATCCGTGTCGGATCAAAAAGTAAAATAGGAGGTGCACAATGGTAATATGTAATAAACCTAAGATTCTGTGAGTTATAGTAAATTTCAATAAGTGGTATAAGAGGATTTGCGGATAAGAGATGGGTACCCCAAAGCGTAACAGACCGACGGACGGACATAACTATTACTATATACCCTCCAACTTTTCAAGCGGGGGATATAATAAACGTTAAATATACATCACAGGAATGGGTACATTGGGAACTTTCTCAAATACCCTCTTAAACGCATTGGCGTCGGAAGCAAATTGAACGGGGGGGGGGGGGGGCTAAGTGCAAAGAATTTTTTTTATACATTCAAAAAATCTGAGAAGCTTAAAAAGAGGAGAAATGCCCTTTTCCAAAACACGAATATCATATTTCGTGTGGGGGAAAGGGGGGGGGGGTAGTTTCGAACTTCAGTAACAATTTTTTTCTCCAAACACCAACACTTTCCTCTTTTTTATACTGCGACTTGTCTGTGGAAAGTGGGGGGAGGCTAAACCTACGCCGCAATGTTCAATGTCTATACTAAGTATATATTTGTAAAAAAAAAAAAAAAAAAAAAATCCCCCTGTTCCGACACCTATGCTCAAACGTACGAGTCGAACCTGAACCTGGACAACAGACAAGAGAATTTTTAAAAAGCTAATTGTAGGTAGAATGTGGAATTCTCACGGGGGATGGGATGGGGGGGGGGGGGTTGCTTTCTCTTTCTATCTGCTTTTTCTAGTAATCATTAATTATCTATGTCCAGAAATTTATTCATATTAATTTCTGGTCAGCACAACTTCTTATAAACCACTGACCAGAGTTTTGTCGAACTTTCGGATATCTATAGGAGTCAATGTGTGTCTAGATTTGCACATCACCAGGAAATTCCGAATTCTTTATTTTTTCGGGAATTTCCACACTTTTACATTTAGATTTTGGCCATATCTTGAATATTAAAATGAGCAGTTTGTCAGCGCAATTCCCAATAAACCGCTGCACACAATTTCGTCAAACTTTGCAGATATTTAGGACACAATGTACATAGATGTGCATATAACAAGAAAATTACAATTCGTTTTTTTTTTCTGGGAATTTCAGCACTTCGACTTTTGGGGGAGCGTGGGGTATGTTTTCATTCATTGTGCATAAAATTATAAATAACTTTAAATCAAATTATATTAGGTCTAATTTAGGTCTATGGTCTAATAAAGTCAATACACAGTATTTATTTGATAATAATTAATCATAAAGAAATCAATCTGTTACTGACGTTTTCTTAAATTATTTTTATGAGAGTGTTAATATGCCTGTTTTATTACACCCCCCTCCCCCTCCTATCACAGGAAAATATCTTCAAAAGGTGAATGATTCGTAATAATGAATGCTTTATAATAAATTTAATTAAGTTAAACCATGTAATCATAAATTCTATTTGCAACATTTACAGACAAGAGTAATGTTTAGTTTTGAAAAAATCCCTTGCATTTTTTCAATCAGCCCCACGGAGCTTTCAACCTTTGATATTTTCCCTGAGCAAATAAAATGATCGGCATGGGCCACGTGTGTCCAAGCATCTTTTACTGTTGAGTTAGCAATGGATTACTGAGATGCATTTTTCAATACAAGTAAAATAGGATAATTCTTTCGACATGTGCATATCCCTGTAACGATAGCAGTATATTCAAGTAAAAGTTTTATCACTGCGTTTGACGCGTTTTCTCGACCTGCATGGATTTTTGCTGTACATGAATGTATTCCGTGTTAGTGTATTTTCTATATTGCAGCAAATGCATTAAAAAATAATTTAATTCTCGGTATAGTTCTATTGTTTGGTTGAATTCTTACTTTTCAAACATGTATTTGGTCAGTTTATTCAGTTTATGGACTTCTAAAACTATGCTATCGGAGATGTGTACTTGCGACAGCCAGGCTACAAAATCACTCAAGTGAAACAATTCTACAAGGCTATATATAGCAGGTACAGGTGGCCAAAAAATCTTCGATAAATATGGTGGAATTGAAGAAATATGGCGGACAAGGGCGTACAGTAATGTAGTAAGTCGTACAAAGATAAAAACTGATGCCTTTTTAAAAGTTCATGTCAGCTCTAATATGTTTACTCACGAAAAATATTAAGGCACCTTACCAGACATTTGTGTAAGGTGTGAAATAGTTTATTCTCCTTTTTGAATAAAATTAAATTAAATTGTTAGCATATTTTAAAGTTTGAATTTCAAGACAATTAGATACTAAATTAGAAATTAAAAGGTAATATTGCTTTTAAACGGTGTTGAATATAATAAAAGATGCAGGACAAATTCTTGACTTCAAAAATAGCAAATTCGCAATGATTTTTCATTTACCTTTCTGCAAGGCACTACGTGTTCTACGTGTCAAACAAAATTATCGATATACATATAGAATACGTACACGTGTATGTGTGAAAATCAGTGCTCTGAAGTCATAAATAACAAATAACAAAAATATGAACTCAGAAAACCACACTATAAAATTAATTATGTTAAACACTTCGACAGCTGGCGACATTGTAGTGTTCCAAATTATCACTCAGTACTCGGGGTAGAGCAGGGAAAGGCTTCTTATCATACCAGAAAAGCTAGGATCTTGTAAAAGACACATGTTTCTAACACCGATTTTTACATGTACTTTAAAAAGAGATTCTGAGATGAATGGACTGGTTAACAGAAGGAATAAAGGTTATAATTTGTAAATCAATAAGAAATAAAGAAAAACTGAAAAGTCTACAGGTGAACGACATACATGTACACGGAAACCGCCAATTACTATAAGAACAGATCCATTTGAGATTAGTTTTGGGAAATTTTATATTAAGTAAAGGAATTAATCTGTTAATTTATTCTTAACTATGTTGAGTAAGAAATATATAACTCAGTGACTATAAGAAAGTCTGCAGTATTGCGTTTATTAATTGTTGATGCTTCCAAAAGTGTAGATATCAAGAAGTTTTAAAATTACATGAGTAACGTTTTGATATCATCAGTGTAGCGCCGATAGAAATTTTGAATGATTCGTTTATTAAACAGTATAATATGATCAATAGAGATTTTGTTTCATAAAAAATCTGTAAACTGTGTAAAAAATTTATATATAGTGCATTACATTACTTTAAAAAACTCAGATAATTAACCATGTTGAAAGGATTGATATTACCTTGAAAACATCTTTGGTTGTGTGATATAAAACCACTCTTGCAGGTACATCTATTATCCTTGCACACGTCTGCATTAAAAGTACCAGTGCATTGCCATTTCCAATGACAAAACCCACCTAAAGTCACTTTTTCTGAAATGTTGTTTATTGAAACACATTATGCATGAAGTGTACCGGAGAATTGTCATAGAAAAAACCACGATCATTTTTAGTTTTTCGTTTTTTCGTAAATTACTCTATCAAAATTAATCATTTTTTATATAATAAATAATAAAGTAATGATTATGTTGTCTTACACAAAAGTATGAGATTGTCAGGTAAACTTCGGTATCTCGACATCGGATATGTCGACAACCTGGGATATGTCGACGTCTGTCCGCGGTCCCGGCATTATTTACTATATAAATGATTTGCAAAAACGCTGATATGTCGACCTCGGTAATGTCGACTACCCCGCTTATCTCGACGTATATTCACAGTCCCAAGCAGCAAAATTTACCTGGTATATGTCGACATCGGGGCAATTTTCTGCTCTTCTTAACCTAATTGTTTGTCAGCTGGTCGCTCGTCACGCACGGACGACTCCGTGTATCTCGACGTCGTCAGAAATTCACACCTTTCACACCCATGTTTTGACTACATATACTGCTCTGTAGAAATGTGTTTGTAGAGGAATCCCAAGCCCCCTCGGCATCTCCAAGACATTAATTGTTCTATGTTCAGCTTGGGTAATATCATCGATAAATCTTCTCGATTCTGCGTAAATGTAAAACCGTTTATTTATGTCGAAATCTAACAAAACTTAAACCTTTTATTTAAAAAAGTAACTGAATGACATTGAACAATATACACATTGAATTCAGTTCAACTTTAAAATTGGGTAAAAATGCATTCAACAGGAATCAATCTAATCTACGACATGCACGACCATTGCATCAACCGTAATATGGAGGCATATGTAACATCATTAAATTTGTTAAATGCGCAATTCCAATTAAATTTGGTTTGAAAATTAATGATAAATGATTATGAAATAAAAAAGAAGTGAAAGGAAATTATTTATTAAAACATATACGCATTAATTTTTTTTTCCGTATCTCGGAAGTCAACTTGGTACCGTTCCGGTTTGGCGTTTATAGAGCGCATTTCGTATCCTGTTCTGACAGTGCTTGTGGCACGCGGATCGAATGCTGGATGGAAGACGGATTTTAGTAAAATGAGAATAATTCGATAAAAAGAAAGCATTTCATAAATAACATTTTTGAATAACTTCTTAGATTTTCTTTAAAGAGAGATAGCTGAAAAAAACGAGCTACAGTCTAATTGAACTGAAGGCATGTAGGTACCTGTAGTTACACGTCTGTTCAGTTTAGGTCTATGGTTGCAGTAAAATTAAGGACGTCTAGTCTCAACTCTGATATCTCGACACCTCGGATATCTCGACATTTACCGACTGTCCCGTCGATGTCGAGATAACGAAGTTTACCTGTATATGGAAAATGTACATGCTTCATTTCAAAGAAAATCTCATAATTATATGTGCTAAAGTTTGAAAACAATAATTATCTTTTAGATCCAATTATCTTGTTTATACGCAGTAACTTGATTGATTGATTGTATACTGTTTAACGTCCCTCTCCAGAATATTTTACTGATATGGAGACGTCACCATTGCAGGTGAAGGGCTGCAAATTTAGGCCTTTGCTCGGCACTTACGGCCTTTGAGCAGGAAGGGATCTTTATCGTGCCACACCTGCTGTGACACGAGGCCTCGGTTTATACGGTCTCATCCGAAGGACCACCCCATTTAGTCGCCTTTTACGACAAGCAAGGGGGTACGGAGGACATATTAATATCGGATCCCCACGGGGTCACAGTAACCTGAAGATGGCCTTAAAAAGTACTGCTTTGAAACTCTAAGGATTATAATGAATTCGTATTTTTACTGTGGCTTATATCTATTCGTTTCTTTTAAAAATTTAATTTGATATTTTCACAGTATAGAATGATAAAAGAGTATATAATTAAGCCTAAAAATAATAAACTGATGCCATTTCAGTAAAAAGCACGCTCCAGCTTGCAATAAATTCTCATATTATGAGAAAGCAAGAATTCATCTCCCATTTGCATCTAACTTTGGTCTAGATTTCATTTTATTTGACTGTTCAGTTGAAAAAGAAATCAAAAGTAAAACTTGTTCTGGGGATAAAATAATAAATAGGCATAAAAAATCAGAAGTTGGTTTAATACCATCCATATATTTTTAGAAAAATGGCAACATTAGGCGTTTCCAAAATTGTATTTCAAAGCCAAAATCAGTTACCTGCATTCGGGTAACAACTGTTTTGTATGGCAGTACATCCCGCTCTACAGGTACATCTCAAATTCCAGCAAACACCAGAGTAGTTTGAGCCTCTGCACTGAATATTTGATACACATATACCACCAATAGGAACATCCGCTAAAGAAATGAAATTAAAATCAACATTGCCTGGAAAAAAAATACTCGATTACATTATAGATACATTGACATGGACCTAGTTTTTGGGTTTTGGAAAAGAAAATAACTTTCCTGAATACTATACAGTGTATTTTGCAATATTAATTATATTATATATACTGAATGTTTGATACAAATACATATAACAGTGAACCGTGCGCACATAAATTCTGCACAATCGCTTTTTTTTTTGGAATATGACCCGTCGTCAAGCAATATTGGCGTGGCTTCATTATTCAGCTTGTAATAGTGTTTTTTAACAAATAATTTTCGATCAATCAGATTCAACCAATTTACATGAAATTATAAAATAATAGCTACCCGCTTCGCGGTTTATAAAGCGTAACTGCCCCAACCCAGTTTATACCGTTTTAAATGGGTAGCTATTAAATTCATTTCTTATAATTTAATTTTCACTCATATGGTGTAAGAAAAAAAAGGATATCATTCTAAAAAAATGACTTCAATTTGTACAAAATTTGAATGTAACATCAGGCGGATTGATACGCTTTTGACAAAAGTCATTGTGACGTAGGCAGCCCATTTTATACGATATAAAGTAATTTTTTATCCAATCAAATACAGCGTTACAATCAGAATTAAATTATTTTATAATGAATAAGACTCCATATTATATTTCTTTAGAAAAAAAAAATTGGTCCAAAATTGAGTTTAGCAAATGACTTTTTGAATTCAGTATCCCATTTTTGATACGTTATAAAATCCAATACATTACTATGACAGAATATTTTCCTCGTGCTATTATGAAAACAAAGTACAAACTTTTGAGTCACTTCATAAAATTGGTGGAAACAGGTATATTGAGAGAAATAAAAGGAGTCAAACTTACCTATTATGTATAATTTTTCCCAAATTAAACCTATCCCTATTGGAATTATATACACGGTACAGAAGAAAATACTATAATTGTAATTGTATTTCTAAATTAGGCTCTTCTGTTGTATTATATACTTGTCAAAATTTCTAAGTCCCCACTTTTATTTTTTCAAAAAGTTAAAAACCTTAACTTCAATTTACTAGTTGCTTACAAATTTGCCTTTTATTTCCAATTCTTACTTGTCAAGGCCGAAAAAATTGTAATCGAATGTGTAATTATTCAACCGTGACCGTTTTTGTTAAAAAGCATGAAGTTCGAGTTACATATTTTTTTCGGGTGTATTCTTCATATTTCTTACTTCCAAATGTGCCTCAAATTCTTAATTTAATATCCAAAAACAGAAAAGCTCTGGAAAATCCTCATCCATGTCCACAACAATGAGCAGTTAGTTCAAAAATGGCCCTAGCTGGTCTTAGTTAACGAAAGTTCCGTTTCCTTTCACTGTATGACTTTATTTTACTTAAAACCCTCATAATTACCGCCCGAAAAACCTACTAAGCGTACCTGAATTCCTTTCAATCGTTAGAAATCGCTGGATTTTCAACAAACATCACAAAAATATCCTAGAATTTATCCGGAAAAAATCATGGAACCGGAACCGGAAGTGCCTTCCCCTCCATGGAAAACTGGAAGAGTGGGGAATACATGTAAGAAGACGTTATGTTACTATTGTTGATAAGGCACATACAATTTCTATAAGCCTCTTTGTCATCCTAACCTCAACCCTAATTAGCATGTATGGAAGAAGATAGACTGGAGTCTAAGACGGCTTTTCCAGCAGCAGAGTCTAGCGGAACTAGAGGACAACCTAGTCTCCGCATGGAAAAACATTCAATAAAAGAATTTTTTTAAATAGTGTGAAATCTTTGAGGAACAGTTGCCTTGCTGTGAATTCTTTTGAAGAAGAATTCGTTCAGGAGAATGATGCAGTATCTAACGTTGTGAATTTCTAGGGTGCCTTAACGTTTCTGCATATTGTGTTAAAGCGCTTCAATAAAATAAATTAAATGAGAAAAATTGTTTTGCTAGTTTATTATCCTGTATACTTATTAAATTATACTGTTAAAATAATTCAATATAAGAGCGTTGTAAAGCAAAAACTTGTCTGGAGACTTAGAAATTTTGACTAGTATAGTTCAAAATGTACTTTATTTTTTTTATACGTGTATTATAGGTGGCAGTTGCCTATGATTTGATTACTTTATAAATTTTGAATTATTTTCGATCGAGAGCGGTTTTATTTCAATCGGGTATGGTATTTATCGTGAAATTTGGAAAATTTTCTAAACTTGGTTTTTCATTTTAATTTACCAGAAAAATAGTAAAGAGTTAAATTCTATTAGTGGCAAAATAATTCTTGCACATGTACCTACAGTATAAATAGAGAAACTATTTTTATGTGTATAGTCTTAGGTTTATCCGAGTTCTTTCAATCTTTCATCTTTTAAACCTTTTCTCCTACAAATTCCTCTTTTACGAAATTTTATTTTATGTAAATAAAGTTCATTTCATATACATCATTATTTAAGAGTCCATATATTGCAAGCAAAAACCAGGGGAGGGGGGGGTGGCATCATGGCATCATTTTTTCAAAAACTGCTTTTATGAATATAAAAACATTTTAGAATTGGCCAACAAAATTTTAACTCCATATTAAACGTGAGTATGTAATTATTTAGATCTCAAAATAATAAGAAATAATAATAATAAAATAAAAACTAGATGAGATCTCGTTGCGAGCAACCAGTAGGTCTTCCGTCTGATTTTTTTTATGATTTTGACTATGATCTTTGTTAGATCATAATAATATCAAGACTTCTCTCTATCAGATATTTCTTTTCGTTTTCAAGCTATGTGGGATAGAAAAATTTAATAGCCAGTCCTTTATATCCTTAATGGGATGTTTTTGCATATATAGAATGGCTGTATAATGTTTAAAAGACGTCTTAAATTCTTTTATCTTTAATTCGATACCGCTTATCAAAATATTTCCCATTTTGGAGATATAAAGAATCCAAGATTGAGCATTTTGACCCCTAATGGCCCCCAATTACGTAACATTTGATCAAAATTTTACAATGCATTGATGCAGATTGTTATGGTCGATACAATTACCTTGTCAGCAAATACAATTTATCATTGAGTCAAATGCTGACTGACGTTTTTTCATACCAATTGTTCGTCCATTATTTAAACACTGAATTGACGACCGATTTTTCCGTTATTTCACGATCATGACAATGAGCACACAGCGGATGTGACCGGTCGGACAGGGGATGCCCACTCCTCCACAGCACCTGATCCCACCTCTGATATTTCGGAGGCCCGTGTTTGCTCTGCTCTTATTATGTTCCCCAAACAAAGTTGGGTCACATGTTTTTTACTCTGTTTCTTATTAAGGTCTTCCATTTACAACGGAAGACCTTATTGTATTCGTACGGTTTCTTTCTCCCTATTATGACGGTCTTCCGTCTCCAACGGAAGACCCTCCTATTATTCTATTGGGTTTTTTTTTTTCACTTTTATTATTATTCTTCCTTTTTCTTTACAATTCTTGTGCAGAAGATTTCTCAGAGATGGCTCGACCGATTTAATTGAAAATTTTAGAGATAATGTATTTTTATCTAAACCTTATACTTTTTTTTCATTTTTTTTTAATTCACTTCCGGCCGGTGTCTCCTTGTCCGTGAGTAAACTCAAAAACGACATTAGCTAGAGAGCTGAAATTTTCAGCGATGATAGACGACACATTGCTGAACTGCACATTGGATTAAAAAATTTTCAGAAAGGTCCAATATGGAAGCTCGGTAGGGGTCAAAATCTAGGACACGAATCAGGAGTGAATTTTCGAGACATTTTGTATCATATCTTTTAAAGTATAATTATTTTGTCAAGACATACTAAACAATATTTGTGGGGAATGTCAAGATCTTTAATATGATACCAGGAGAAAAGTTACGACTCATCACATTAAGGGAAAAAAGTGGCCAAAAGTATTCATTGAATAACTCTTTAGCAATCAGTATTTTGTTTTACTGAAGCAAAAATGTTTATGTCAACAATCTATAACTATATATTATAATTTTTAGGCTGTATGTTGCATAATTAGGGGCCACAACGGGCCAGAATGCTTAATCTTTGACGCTTTATATCTTGAAAATGAGAAAAATTTTGATTAGTATTATTGATCAAAAGATGTTCATAATAATGTTCTAAGCAATATGCAACCTTTCATTTCTCGCTAAACGTCCCTATTAAGGAGTTGAAAGGTTGGCCCCTAAATATTACTTTTGCAAATAACTCGAAAACGAAAATGAATCTCTGAATAGTTGTTGAACAAAAAGTGTTCAAATTCTTAAGAGTTTTAAGGCAAAATCAAGGAAAAAGGGCTGGGCAATCAAATTAGGGGCCAAAAGGGGCATATATATTACATATAGAATTGTAAATATACCTTTATTGTTCAATGTTTGGTCTTGGTTTCGTTATTTCTCCATTCATCAGAAAACAGTCACTTTTATATCCAGTCGTCACTTAAACCACTCCTGAAATAATTGCGTTCACAAAATGAGGGGCAGTCTAACTTGGTTTTCTTTTTCTCTGACTTGCCTCGTGTTCTCTGCGACTTTGAAGTAGATACGCCACTGGGCACAATGCAAATATCCGAAACCGCCAATTTCTAAACTGCCTTACACACAAATCATTATGTAGGGTAAATAACGGGGAACGGAAAAAATAAGCTGTTTTCACATAGAACTTGAAAACAAATTCATCGTTTTCAAGATAAATGAATGAATTAGCGTCAGTAGGTTGTTGAGAGAGAAAATTGAGATGGTCTGTTCCTTATCATTTCACAATTTTCTTTTCCGTTGCGTGAATCACCGCTGTTACATTTGTAATCAACCCCTTGTATTGGATAGAGCTGCGGCCATGTCATAATAATCTGACCTATTTAATCAAGCTGTAATTTCCACATTTTCTAACCATCAAAATCTAAGCCTGTTAAAAGCACACAAGTCGCTTTACTTACACTTTTTTGATAAGAACAGATACTCTGCTGCAATTGAATAACATTATCTTATCATGCAGCAGTAAC